CCGGAGATTGCAAGCAGAGTTCAGAAGCCTTTTGTCAAAGTCAGGGTACATAGTCCGAAGTCGGGGAAACAACGTCACACAAGCCAAAGTCAGGAGCCGGGAAGTCTGAGAGAAAACCAGGAGACAGTAACACAGGATCTGGGGTGCGGCGTTTTGTCTATGCGATTAGTTGCCAGCACGAGTTGGGAATCTGAGAGAGCCGCCTAAAAAGCCCGTTCCGCTTGTTAGCCAATTACCGGACGCTAACAGGGTCCTGGCTCCGGTCAGTACTCTGGGCTTAGAGGATGGCGACCTCACATGCGCGCCTCCTTATGCCGGGTTGCCATGTCCCGCCGCCCCTGATCGTGCAAACGAGCCACCGGTGGGGGGGGAATCAGGAGGTGTGGTGCTCGTGTTTGGCTCTGCCGGCGCGGCTCCAGGTGTAAACTCTCCTGGGAGCTGTTGCTCATCCTCCGCAAGACTTAGGCCTGGTGCTTCAAGGGGTGCAGGGAGCTCACCCTCGGACGTTGAGACGTGCATAATCCCCAGGATCAGGGTCTACGGGGTCGGGCTGCACTGCGGGCATGACACAGAAGTCTTGAAGGGTCCCTCCCCCCGGGCACCATTCCGGGCTTTGAGATGCCCGCAGAGCCCAGCAGCCAGCTGCCCTCTCCTCCATGTCCTCTCAGTGGCCTCCCAGTGGCTGTGCGGGCCGTTGGGCACTCGAGCGGCCCTGCCCGGGGAGATACTGGAGGCTGAGCCAGGGACTGAGCGCTTGCTGTCCCATTCTGCCCGTCCGCAGGCCTTTAGAGAACCGGCCTGACTCCGGCCGGGAGCTACAGCACCTGCACTCGGCTCCTTCCGTCTGGAGGTGTGGGGGCTGAGCAGGGAGGGCCCCCAAATCCCACCCCCACCCCCCGGCCTCCTTTTCTTCCTCCCCCCGCTAGGTATGTTCCGCTTGGGGGTCCCTGTGGAAGGTCTCCTGTTCGTGGGCAGCCAGCTCATCGCCACCAGCCACACGGGCAAGATTGGTGTCTGGAACGCCGTTACCAAGCACTGGCAGGTGAGGAGGGGTGGGAGTCGGGGGCCCTGGCGTTCAGGAGGCGTCACACCCTGGGCAGACGAACCCGTCCACGGCTGGGGCGAATCCATTTTGCCCGCCATGTTGGGTGGGTGGCAGAGCGGTCCCTTCCCGAGCCAGATCTCTCGCCCGGCATTTGAGGAGCTCCTTCGGGCACACTGCTTCCTGGGGGCTCTTCCACCAGCCCCCCACCCCACCCGGGGGTGCCTCGCTGACTTCCTGCTGGCTACGCTTGACCTCGAGGGCTGACCGCCTCCCTTCCGTGCCCCACAGACTCAGGAGGTGAGCCCGATCACCAGTTATGACGCGGCTGGGTCCTTCTTGCTGCTGGGCTGCAGCAACGGCTCCGTCTACTACGTGGGTGAGTGAGGGGCGCCCTGTCTGGGCGGGCAGGGAGGTGGCGGGTGGTTTCTGCCTCTGCCCGGTGGCCCCCCGGGGCAGAAGGGGGAGGGCGAGGCTCCAGGCCTGTCTCCCACCCACCTGGCTCTTCCTCGTCCTCCCGCTCCGTGCAGACGTGCAGAAGTTCCCCCTGCGCATGAAGGACAACGACCTGCTGGTCACAGAGTTGTACCGCGACCCCTCCGAGGATGCCGTCACCGCCTTGAGCGTCTATCTCACCCCCAAGAGCAGTAAGGCAACGCCGGAAGCCGCGGCCGCGTTCTGGACTCCCCTGCCCCTCCCGCTTGCTGAACTGTCCAGAGCCACCGTCTCCGCCCCACCCCTCACCCCGGGCTGCCTAGACCTGAGGATCCAGCCCCGCCCTCCCGCCTGGCTTAGCTCCCTGTCCCCCCCTTTCTGGAACGGGACTCCTCCCCCGATCTCGCTCCCGCCCTCTCCTGCGCTCTCCCACACACACACACACACCCCGGCAGCGGACGGCAGTCTCCCCGGCTGCTCCAAGGTGTGGCCGTGCTTCCTGGCGCAGGTAACAGCGGCAACTGGATCGAGATCGCCTACGGCACCAGCTCCGGGATGGTCCGGGTGATTGTCCAGCACCCAGAGACGGTGGGCTCGGGGCCCCAGCTCTTCCAGACATTTGCTGTCCATCGTAGTCCCGTCACAAAGGTGATGCTGTCCGAGAAGCACCTGATCTCAGGTACGGTGGGATTGAGAGAGGCTGTGGGGGGGGGGCTGGGACTCGCAGTGTTCCCTCCAAGCCGAGTCAGTGTGAGCCAGCTCACAGTTTTTTAGCCTCTGGCTCACACTTTTTTGTCTCAGCTCAGGAAGGATGTGGCTCCAGAGCAATGCTCCCTCTAAGCTGTGGAGTCTTATGAGCAAAAATCCTACTTTGTGAGCTACTGGCATTACAGTTGTGAGCAAGCAGTTTGGCTCCTGCATGAATCAGTTTGCTCTGGAGCCCCATCCCTTCCTGAGCTGAGACAAAAAATGTGTGAGCAAGAGGCTAAAACCCTGTGAGCTAGCTCACACTCACTCAGCTTAGAGGGAACACCGCTCCAGAGCAAACTACTTTATGCAGTCGCCAAATTGCTCGCTCACAACTTCAATGCCCAGAGCTCACAAAGTAGGATTTTTGCTTACAAGAAGACTCCACAGCTCAGAGGGAGGGTTGGTTGTGAGCCTGCAGGGGGGAGGGCGGGGGGGTGTCTTTCCCTCCATTGCCTTCATTGCCTCTCTTCCCACCCCCGCAGTCTGTGCCGACAACAACCACGTCCGCACGTGGACAGTGACCCGCTTCCGTGGGATGATCTCCACGCAGCCCGGCTCCACCCCGCTGGCCTCCTTCAAGATCTTGGCCCTGGAGTCCGGGGATGGCCAAGGGGGCTGCAGTGCCGGCACGGACATCGGTAGGTGGGGGGCGGCGGGGGGCGCTGCAGGGCGGCCTCTTCTTCGCCTCCGTCCTGCCGGTTGCTGGACCTCGCCCCCCTCCGCCCCTTGCAGGCCCCTTTGGTGAGCGAGATGACCAGCAGGTGTTCCTCCAGAAGGTGGTGCCGGACGCCAGCAAGCTGTACGTGCGCCTCTCCTCCACGGGCCGGAGGTGAGTCTGTGGCCAGGGAGGGGGGAAGGACAAGGGGAGGAAAGGGTGGCTCCTCTGCCACTCTGGAGCCAGCGTCCGGCACCTCCAGCCGGCACCCGACCCCTCTGCCATCCAATGCAGGGGGTTTCTGGTCCTGTTTGCTGGGTGCTTTGGGGGTGGAGGCCTGGCTGCGTGGAACACTGAGACGCTGTTGGAGGGAAAGGCGCAGCGAGCTGGAGGTGGCGCTGGGAGCCACGGCGGGGCTGGAGGGAAGCCATCAGGGGGAGGGGGAGCCCCAGGGCTCCACTGGAGGTGGGGCTGAGCCAATCTCGCACCTCCCTCCCCCCCACCCCCAGGATCTGCGAGGTCTGCTCCGTCGATGGCTCCCCCATCACAGCCTTCATGGTGCAGGAGTGCGAGGGGTCCAGCCGCATCGGATCTCGCCCACGCCGCTACGTCTTCACTGGCCACAGCAACGGCGGCGTCCAGATGTGGGACCTGACCACGGCCATGGAGATGCTGGAGCGAGCGCCAGGTACTGGCTGGGGGCGGGGGGGTGGGGTGGGGGGGCGGCAGGCCCTCCGGTGGAGCCCTGGGGCTGGGTGGTCACCGGCTGCCCCAGGGATCCCTGATCCTGCCTGCCTTTATTGAAATAGATAGATTCAGGTTTAACAAGTGGTTAAGATGCTGAACTGCAGGCTGTGGAAGGTCGTTCGTTCAGCAGTTTGAGACCCGAGTGCGCCGCATGACGGAGTGAGCTCCCGTCTCTAGTTCCAGCTCCTGCCAACCTAGCAGTTCGAAAGCAAGAAATTGCAAGTAGACAAATAGGTACCACTTCGTTAGGAAGGTAACAGCGTTCCGTGCGCCTTGGTGTTTAGTCATGCCAGCCACATGATCACGGAAACGTCTTCGGACAGCGCTGGCTCTTTGGCTTTGAAACGGAGATGAGCACTGCAACCCTAGAGTCGGATTCGACTGGCTTTTGAGCAAGGGAACCTTTACCTTTAGTATCAACAATAGGTCGTAAATAAGCAATTGTAAGAGTAGTATAACCAAGAGTAAACTACATCGCGGGAAGAAGGATGTAACATATGCTGATTTAGAACCAACAGAGGTCAATCGAACTAATCCACAACATCAATAGCTTCAAGAATAGGTTCAGGTTCCTTTTGAGTGGCAAGATATTCAAGGACTGGAAAGCCAGATTTTAACAGAGTTCGATTTGTAAGGCTCAGATTCACCTGGTAACACGGAGTCTGCTAATTTGTCCATTATACAGAATTCCTGAACTTTTAGGAACCAATCAGATATGGGAGGTCTTGTGTCATCTTCCCAAAGCCTGGCAATATCTGCGCAAAGCCGCTGTGCAAAGTGTTTCTGTTAGACCAAGATTAGGTGTTCGGCCTTTGTCTTTGCCTCCCTTTCCCCCAGATGCCGGCGGTCTCTCGGAGGAGGAGCTGCTGCTGGAACTGGGCCACTCTGACCTGGCCCTCATCCACACCCCGGAGCCACCCCCTGTGACGCCTGCCACCCCCACGGGTACCCCCTGCGCGGCCAGCCCCCCCAGGTAGGTGGACACCGACACCGGTGGGCGGGGTGGGGTGGGGTAGGGAAGAGGTGGCCTGGGGGATTTCTGCCTCTTGAAAAGGGGGACGGGTTGGGCAGAGCTCGTGTGGCTGTACCCGGACGGAGGGCGGGAGGGGGGGCGGGCGGGGTTTGGGACCCTGCTGGTCCTGCGGGGCCCCACTGGGAGGGAGGGAGGGAGGGAGGGAGGGAGGGGCTGTCCCCCATCCCCTTTGCAGCGCTAACGGTCCCCCCCCCTTTCTCCAGCAGCCTCCCGTTGCCAGGAGCCGGTGGGGCCCAAGAGAAGCCGGCCCCGGCATCCCCGGCCCTCTCCTGCCGCTCAACCCAGTCTGTCCCCGGCGCCCGCAACCAACCGGCAGGCGTGGACCGGTGGCGCGTGGGTGGGAACTTTGTCGAGCGTTGCCAGGAGCTCGCCCGCTCCTCTGAGCTCGCCCAGCCGGAGGGCCGTTGGGCCAGCCGCTCCCGGGAGACGGGGGCCAGGGCCAGGCCCAGCGGGTACCCCGCGGGTGTCGGAGACCAAAGACCGGCCAGTGGTGGCCCTGCCTCAACAGAGCCGGCCTTCCCGCTGGCCACACCCAGGCGGCCGCTCAGCGAAACCTCTTTCTGACCTGCCACCTGCAGTGCTGAGGGCGTCTGCTGCCTGCTCAGGTCCCCTGGGGCACCTCCGCATCTCTGGTCCTCCTGCGGGCGGGGTCTGTGTGCAGAACTCTCCAGCTCCCTGTGCCTCTCCAGCTCCCTGTGCCTCTCCTGCCTTACCAAGACAGCACCACCACCCCTTCCCGACAGCCACGCGGTGTTCTGTGTGCTCTCTCAGCAGCCTGTGCGCCTTCTCCAAGCTCCCAACCCCCCCCCAACCGCCAAACCACTCAGGGTTCTTGCCCCCCCTCCCGGGGGGGGGGGGCTGTGTGCATTTCTCCCAGGGAAGGACTTTTCACAAGAGTTCTCACACCCCACGAGGGATCCCTGTTGCTGCAGAGACTCCCCTCCCCCTCGGGGGGGGGGGGACTCCTTTTCAGAAGCCAAAGCTACCTGTGAGCAAGACCAGTCCACTGTTAAACCGTTCTTCTTTTTGTAGCAATAAACAGACTTGGAGGGTCGCCCCCCCCTCCCCCCTTGATGTCTTCTGGAGTCTTTGGGGGAGACTGTCGGTGGGCTGAGGGCACCTGGGGCCAGGAAGCTTCCCCGTGAGCAGGGAAGAGGCTGGTGGCTCCACACCCGCTGATGGAGGGCCGGGGGG